AGCGTCGGGAAGCTGGGGATTCGAGCCCGTGCACCGCCCCGGCAACCTAGCGTACCCCCCTCTTGGCCTGGACCGACAGTGTTTTACCACGCCTGCCGCTTTGTCATTTGTCAACATGTGCTACAGCTGTTTTCTAAAATCATACTTGGGAGAAAAAAATAATGGCAACATTCATGCTGCTGCAGAAAGGGTTCTTTGTTCACACGCCTATTAATTCGCGAATGTCGCTTTGGGGGATTATTTACTATTGCAAGCTATATTTGACATATTTTACTAAGAGCTGCAGGATTTTAAGTGCAAGGATTTTTAGTGCGATCGTTTTTAAAGGAAGTTACTACGCGTGAGGGGTTGAACGTGTTGGGTGACTGGAGGCTAGATTGCTCGGAGATTTTTCAGTGCACGTAATGGCTTCGTATTTAATAGTACCACTGCAGACCTACTGAACAGATAACGACGAGGTTAATGCACGGGGACTTCAGATTCTTTTCATGATAGCACACTGAGGGACAGATTACCCAGCTCCCTCCGTGCAAATGACACGGGACCTAGTACGAATACCAGGAGGGCCAAGGGTGCTCTGAAGCTCAACTCCTCCGTAAACATTAAACTTCTTACAAGTACTCTGTGTTCAGAGTTCTTGTGTACTCTTTTATTTATTTACTTTTGGCCTACCTTAAAATTGGGCTGTTTCTTTTCTCCACAGAGCTGTCTTAGGGTATGAAACAGGAGGTACCGAGAAGTGAGAAGACGGGAAGAGGCCTTTGGCATGTCCTCAGCTTTCTTTTTACCAACTCTCATGGCTCAGCTGAAAGTAGTGTAGTGGAGATGAGCAGTTGGTGTAATCACTATGTCACTGGACTCCCTTGTAGTCCACTGTTGGTTTGAGTCCCGGACCCGGTGGCTTAAACTCACGCCAGTCACCTGTGCGTGTGTGCCCAAGATCCTGAGAGGAGAGTGGAAAAGAAGGGATTGTGGTGTGGCCATACCATCCCATGAGGGGGAGGGGTGATTTCTCTCTTTCCAGTCTGTCTTTATGGGGAGTGCACGCGCCCTGCAAGAATAAATACCTAGCATAATGGTTTCTCTTCCTCAAGGTATAACGGGAGACATTCTTTTTGTGGGCACTGATTTTTTTAAAATCTAATTTCTCTTTGCACTCAATATAATTTCACTCTTAGTCCAAAACCTAAACTATTCTGAAAAGTTCAAGTGTACAGTATTACCTTTTCTCCTAGGTCAATAGAAAATGTGTTCTTGGTGGCCGGCTGGTGGTGTGCTGGTTAAGAGCGTTGAACTCCCACATGGCCGATGGCGATTAGAGTCCCGTACCTGGTGGCTTACTTTCTCTCTCTCTCTCTCTCTCTCTCTCTCTCTCTCTCGCTCTCTCACTCTGTCCCTCTCTGGTCAAATTACAAATAAATAAATACATAAATAAAGTTTAATAAAATCATTCTTAAAAAAAAAAAAAAGAAAATGTGTTCTCATCAGATAACTCCAGTAACCACATGTCAACAGTCCACTGGAATGGCTAAATGGATAAAGGACGTGTGTGTGTGTGTGTGTGTGTGTGTGTGTGTGTATGTGTGTATACACACAGTGGAATATTAATCAGCCCTTTAAGAAAGAAAATCCTGTCACGTGCTACAACATGGATGAACCTTGAGGACATTATGCAAAGTGTAATTACCCAGTCACACGTGAGATATTTAAAGTGGTCAAGCCCCAGAAACAAAGTAGAAGGTGGTTGCCAGGGTCTGGGGGGAGAGGGGGACAGGGACGATGGGTATAGAGTTTCTCTTTGGAAGATGAAAAAGCTCTAGAGACCTCTCGCACAACTAGGGCATATGGTTAACGCAACCACACATACCCTTAAAAATGGTTAAAACAGTAACTTGCTGCATGTCTTTTTAACCTCAATACAAACAAATACAAAAAACAAAATGAACAAGACACTAGAGGTGTGGCATCTGGGAAGTGACAGGAAGAAAGAAAGCATCCCTTTTTCTCTCTCAGTAATGGAGTAAGGAAGTCAGGTGTGTGCTGGGTAGGGATGGGAGATCCTAAGGTACGGAAGCCTCAGTTCTTGTTCTGGAGAAGCTAAGCCTACAGATGGTCACTGGATTGTGAATATCGATGCACCCGATCCTTTTGAAAATGCGCTGGGTCCTTAGTTACGGCCTAGGTGTTCAGTAATACAGGTAGGTACGTAGTACGAGGGTAACGTTCAGTGGACACTAGATCAGTGTCATTGTGTCCTCAGAATTTCATGGAAGAAGTAAACATTGTCTGTTTTAAAAGATGAGGAAGTTTGCTATCAATAGATTTGGAGGAAGAGATTGAAAAGGGAGCAGTATTGGAAAGAACCGGCCTGATGTCACCTGCAAATCACATGCAATCGGGTGGACAGCTGGAAGGTCACGGTTTGTTCACGGAGCAGCAAGAGGTGAGGTTAGTGCTGGTGTGCATTAAGGTGGGCAGGAAAAAAGAGTGGTGGAGGCTTCCCAGGAGAGCGCCTATCAGTATTTCGGGTCTGGAGATACACCAGCTGTAGATCGGGAATCCCTGCTGTCCATCCTCATCTCTGTATACAGAAGGCATCTTCAAAAATGATAGAAAATAGCTATTATGAAAAAATTAGGCTTGCATTTCAATTTTGGGGGGTCAAAATTAACTTATACTTTAATTCCATTTTTCTTAAACTTTTTGAAGTCCCTGCATATGATAGAACCCGGCTAAATGCTCATCAGACTCATTTTTGTTTGCGTTTGCAAGGACACGTGTGCTTATCCAAGAGAAACAGAGGGAAGGTGAATGAGAAATCGTCCACAGGGGCTTGGCCAGGCTGCCATCCCTTCTCCATTCTCATGCATTGCACACATGCCCGCCATAACTTTCAAGCCATCAGTTCTAGGACTTGAACTGCAAAGCTGGCCATGTGGGATCTAGCCCCCTTAATATCCACACCACCTGCTGGCTCCCCATTTTGTCTTCTAAGGTAGCTAAACTACAGTTCCCAAGCGTTTTGCATAGAGCTGGGGTGACAAGCTTAGTTTTCACCAGTGGAACGTGATCACTGCTGAGCGATTAAGTCAAGGCATGCCTTCTCTGCTCTTATCCCTCCACCTCCCCTCCGGATGGGGCCAGGTCAACCTTGAAGCCATGAGTTTAGAGACAGAAGCTCTGTAGTGTGGAAGTTGTCCCTGCTGTTTGCAGCAAAGCCGCCTTACAGCGTGCATCGTTCCGTTAAATGTGTGAGGAATAGATCTTTATTGAGTTACGTTAGACATTTTGAGGTCAATTATTCCAGCAGCTAGTGTGACTTATCATAACTGATAGAATATCACAGATGGCCCACAACATGGATGAACCTTGAGGACATTATGCAAAGTGTAATTACCCAGTCACACGTGAGATATTTAAAGTGGTCAAGCCCCAGAAACAAAGTAGAAGGTGGTTGCCAGGGTCTGGGGGGAGAGGGGGACAGGGACGATGGGTATAGAGTTTCTCTTTGGAAGATGAAAAAGCTCTAGAGACCTCTCGCACAACTAGGGCATATGGTTAACGCAACCACACATACCCTTAAAAATGGTTAAAACAGTAACTTGCTGCATGTCTTTTTAACCTCAATACAAACAAATACAAAAAACAAAATGAACAAGACACTAGAGGTGTGGCATCTGGGAAGTGACAGGAAGAAAGAAAGCATCCCTTTTTCTCTCTCAGTAATGGAGTAAGGAAGTCAGGTGTGTGCTGGGTAGGGATGGGAGATCCTAAGGTACGGAAGCCTCAGTTCTTGTTCTGGAGAAGCTAAGCCTACAGATGGTCACTGGATTGTGAATATCGATGCACCCGATCCTTTTGAAAATGCGCTGGGTCCTTAGTTACGGCCTAGGTGTTCAGTAATACAGGTAGGTACGTAGTACGAGGGTAACGTTCAGTGGACACTAGATCAGTGTCATTGTGTCCTCAGAATTTCATGGAAGAAGTAAACATTGTCTGTTTTAAAAGATGAGGAAGTTTGCTATCAATAGATTTGGAGGAAGAGATTGAAAAGGGAGCAGTATTGGAAAGAACCGGCCTGATGTCACCTGCAAATCACATGCAATCGGGTGGACAGCTGGAAGGTCACGGTTTGTTCACGGAGCAGCAAGAGGTGAGGTTAGTGCTGGTGTGCATTAAGGTGGGCAGGAAAAAAGAGTGGTGGAGGCTTCCCAGGAGAGCGCCTATCAGTATTTCGGGTCTGGAGATACACCAGCTGTAGATCGGGAATCCCTGCTGTCCATCCTCATCTCTGTATACAGAAGGCATCTTCAAAAATGATAGAAAATAGCTATTATGAAAAAATTAGGCTTGCATTTCAATTTTGGGGGGTCAAAATTAACTTATACTTTAATTCCATTTTTCTTAAACTTTTTGAAGTCCCTGCATATGATAGAACCCGGCTA